CATAAACAAAATACCATTGGCTATTTTAAAATCCTAATATGTCCACCCTAACCTGTTTCAAAACCACATACGTCAACACAGGGAAGAAAATTGTGTTCATCAAACCATATTGTAGAGTATTTCAGGTTCACTCTGTTCCAAGCATTTTTCCTAGACAAAATACTCTCGCTGTCATAAAAGTTGTAAAGTTTTTGTGGCAGCTCATGCATAGTTGCCAAGTCCGCGTATTATACGCGACTTTGGGCTTCTTTTTTTGTAAAGTTTCGTGAAAAAATCCCAGGTCGCGGGTTGCGGTTTTTGGACTTATTTAAAAAAAAAAATATGGTTGCTTGTTTGGGAAATCTGACAAGCAACTTCGTTTCTTTATTTACGTTCGCCGTATTCTCCAATGCATTGAATGACACTCTGTCTGCTCGCAGTTAATAGCCAACCAGTGCAATAATATAAGTGCTGTAGCGTAATTTGCCAAATGTTCCTCCCCCTCATTGGAGAAAATCACGTTCAAAAAGAAGGCGCGTGCCGTGACGCTGTAATCCAAGCGATGACAAGTAGATGTAGAGGAGTGGGATGACTTTCTTTTAGCCTATTTTAAAATTTTTACAATGTTTTTGTAATGTATTAATTATCACGGGCTGTAATAAAAAACAAGTTGCCCTATGAATGGCCTATATTTTAGTAGGCTATAAATATGTGGCTATATGTTACAGCTCCTCTTTGAAGCTCTTGTGTTTTTCTCCTTTTCCATCTCTCCAATCCTATTCTGCACACAGGTGATTGGAGATGAGTTTTGTTCCCATTTTTGTTGCAGTTTGCTGATTTTTGTAAAATAGCTTCTGTTTTTGCTTTTCAGATAAAAGAGTGGTTTCAGTTTAATATGTTGCAGGCTCATTTATTGGTAATAAATAATTGATAATAAATATTATTGATGATAATAAATCATTAAAAAAAATTGGGCTTGTTTTGGGCTTGTTTTTGAAGCAGCGGTTGCTTATTTGTCTTGCTAGAGTTGGCAACAAGTGAGCTCATGCAGCTATTAGAATACTGTTTTCTGTAAGCTAAGAACTGAAAGCCTTACAATAACAAGCTTGTTTTTGTTCCTCAACTATTTCATCCATCTCACAGTTCAGAGAAACGCTTCCCCTCGTCTCACCCTGTCACTGTTTCTCCCACACTAATTAAAACACCCTGACTGCTAACCCAATTTGACTCTCCATGACCAAATTGAGTTAGCTCACATTTCAAACGGATCTTAACTCTATTTTTCTCTTCCTTCAAATTCAGCGGCTTCAAACGTATTTTTCCCCTCAGAAGTTGTTGACGCGCAGCAACGGGGATGACAGAGAGCTCAGTATATGAAACTAAACACGGCGACTGCCAAATCGATTCTCCCACAGACACGTGTTGACGCGCGAGTGTTACGGAGCGTGTTTGTCAAATGTAGTAGCCTTACAATAACAAGCTTGTTTTTGTTCCTCAACTATTTCATCCATCTCACAGTTCAGAGAAACGCTTCCCCTCGTCTCACCCTGTCACTGTTTCTCCCACACTAATTAAAACACCCTGACTGCTAACCCAATTTGACTCTCCATGACCAAATTGAGTTAGCTCACATTTCAAACGGATCTTAACTCTATTTTTCTCTTCCTTCAAATTCAGCGGCTTCAAACGTATTTTTCCCCTCAGAAGTTGTTGACGCGCAGCAACGGGGATGACAGAGAGCTCAGTATATGAAACTAAACACTGCGACTGCCAAATCGATTCTCCCACAGACACGTGTTGACGCGCGAGTGTTACGGAGCGTGTTTGTCAAATGTAGTGAGCGGTCTGGGATGGATAAGGGTGTGTGAGTGCCGCCATATGGAATGTGGAGTATTTTGAGCTCATATTCCCCACATCAGGTCAATAAGGTCAGCCTGGAGGTCAGCGGTCAAAAGCTTTGACCTCGTGAAGTGAGATGAAGAAAGGAGAGTGATATTACCTCATGTTTCGGCCACACACACGCTCTATCTAAGTCTTTGCAAATGTGCACACGCTTACACAAACAAGCACATGCATAGTTTTATATGCTTTATGTTCACAACATTCCGAAACCAGTGAATGCCGAAGTCTCTTTGGATTCCATGCTTGACTTTCCCATGACAAATCCCTTTAGGGATAACCCACCCCTGTTCCCCTTCTCTCTCTCCATCTTTGTGTCTCACTGTTTCTCGTTCTCCTTCCCAAATAGGCCTATTTTCCTAAGTGTTCTGTGGTAAATTAAGTGTCTGTGTACAGTTTGTTTGGGAACAGTATGTTTGGGGTGTGTTTTTGTGGGTGTGTGAGTGTGATACTCAGACTCTGAAATCCAGTCACACAATGACACCTACACAGATTTCACCACAACACAACACAACACAGCACAGCACAGCTGTATCTGTCCGTCTGCCTGCTGTTTTATCTGTCCTTCTCTGCGCCTCGATAGCTAGTTACACAACAGTTCCAGTTCATTTTAGGGAAGCTAGTTTAAAACTTGTCAAGCTAGATGCTAAACCTGATTGAGATTAATTAATCTTCAAAGTATGTTTCTGAAAAAGTAGCTAGCTCTGCTACAAGATACTTACAAAATCAACTTATAGGGATCGTTCACCCTAAAATGTAAATGCTATCATTTAATCACCCTCATGTCATTCTAAACCTGTATAAAAAAAAAATTTCCCCCTCATCCATACAATAGAAGTCAATGGGTGCCAGTGTAGATTGGTTACAATTGTGTTCTTTAAAATGTCTTCTTTTGTGTCCACAGAAGACAGAAAGTCATACAGGTTTGCAACAGAATCTTCGTAGTTGGGTGAACTGTCTCTTTAAAATGTAACTATCCAATGACATAATGTCTAATTTTGTCAGTGCTCTATTTTCTGGCAAGTGCTGTTACGATGGCAAGACAATGAGGGTTTATGAATGAGTGAACTCGTTTAGGATGATGGCAGTAAATTTGAAGAGATCCATTTACACTAAATGCAACTAAGAACTAGAGTACTTGGATTTAAATACATATTTCAATATAAAAATGCTTCACCGGGACTTGGATCGGTGAGTCTTTTGTTTATCCGTCTATTTATATGAGCTATCAAAATTAATTGATTCAATAGAACCGGTTCAATAGAAGTTTTAATGCTACATGTGAGAGAAAGAACAGATTCGGAAAAAACAGTTTACTAGAATTAATTTTAATTAGCAGTGCTACATTTGTACCTCAGGTGTCGACAGTGAAGCTTTGCAAGTTAGTAGCATCACAAAGTTTAGTTCGTTGCACCGTAACAATCTGTTAATCTGATTGGTCGAGCAGCACTCTGTTATGTAGTCCACCTTTTTACTACTACCAGGACGACTCTTAAATATGTGAAAAAATAGTTCAAAAATGCTTCACCGGGACTTGGATCGGTGAGTCTTTTGTTTATCCGTCTATTTATATGAGCTATCAAAATTAATTGATTCAATAGAACCGGTTCAATAGAAGTTTTAATGCTACATGTGAGAGAAAGAACAGATTCGGAAAAAACAGTTTACTAGAATTAATTTTAATTAGCAGTGCTACATTTGTACCTCAGGTGTCAACAGTGAAGCTTTGCAAGTTAGTAGCATCACAAAGTTTAGTTCGTTGCACCGTAACAATCTGTTAATCTGATTGGTCGAGCAGCACTCTGTTATGTAGTCCACCTTTTTACTACTACCAGGACGACTCTTAAATATGTGAAAAAATAGTTCCCCCCCCGTTTCTCCTTTATTGAGTTTAAATATAGAGTGATCAGTCACATGACATTTACATCTCAGATGACTGGCGGAAGAAAACAAAAATCGGTTTACATACTTTCAGAGGTCCTGCTCCAGCTGAGCAAGTACCATTGAGATGAATGGTAGATCTTCAGGTATATTAGACCTGAAGGTGAGGTGAGCTTCTGCGTGTTTATTGAAATATTTGTGTAGGTGTATTCCAGACTGTCAAAGAGGGAAAGCGCAGCGGGGTTTATAGGGGTTTATAGGGGTTATAGTGATGGTCTCCATGACTATAATGCAGCACACGCATTACTCTCTCTGCTCGGCTCAGTGTGAACGCTGCGCTGGTATTTCCTGTTTATGCTGTAGGAGAAATGCCCTTTGAACTTTTCCAACATGCACTCCCTCAGGACACCCCAGTTCTGCACTCCGGCCCCCTGTCCAGCCTCTCTCAGCATCCCTTTGTATTCAGTGCAAATAACACAATCAGCGTGGCCTACACTCGCCAAGATGTTTAGAGTCTTTTGTGGTTAGATTTGCGTGTTTGTGAATGAGTGTGTGTGAGAACCTCAACACCTGGGCATCACAGACGCTTTTCACCCCTCTGAAGATAAATGAGCTGATGTATTCATTAGTAATCACTGCTTAAGTCACCAATACATGCTGAGTACTTCAAGGATGGCTAACATAACTTTATCCTAATATTTATACCAGCAAACTTTCTTGACTGAGACAGAGAAGAATGATGTGTTTTGTTCCTTGTGTTGAGATTATATACATGCCTGTGACGGTGTATTTACTCGACACTGTGAATAGATTGTTGACATTTGGCCATGAAACAGCAGACACAGTGGGTGGGAAAGACCACAGCAGTCAGAGAAACTGAGAGAGAAGTTTGTGCGTAAAAAGATTCAGATCAATAGGTGGACAGCCACTTGAATAAAACAAAGAGTGTGTGTTTATAAATGGAGTGTCGTGAAGTGCTTCTTTAGTTAATACAGGCCTCTTGGGGAGCTGAAGATGTATAGTTTCACACGCCGTGAGTCTGATCTGATCGAGTCAAGCGGATCGAGAATGGTCCAGGGGAGTGGCAATCCAAGTTTGTGTGTGTGTTACGATGGCAAGACTCGCATTCCTGCTACTGTAACCCAGAGGAGGGCTGAAAGTAGCCGCCTTCCCTCCCTCCCTCCCTCTCTCCTTGTCCTTCTCACCCTCCCTTCCTCCTTTCCTCCCTCGCTCTCCCTCTCTGTACCACTCTGTAATTAAACGATCGTATGGTGACGCTAAGAATTTGAGCAGAAGTTAATAACCTACAGAATTACGGAAAGAGCTTGATTAGCTAAAAACAGACATTTCGAACGGTGGACACTTGCCTCTTCTCCTCGATTTGGCTGTTTTCTTCTGCGTTTCCAGCTGAGGGAGGTGTCCTCTACAATTCTCTGTCACCCCAAGCACCCTTACAGATCGCCGTGCCACCTCTGGGTATGCCAGGGGTAAGTATGTCTGCTGACCGTACACTCAAGCATATGCTATGCATCACTGTCTCAGGTGAGTTTAGACAGTCATGCGCAACAGGTGTATCTCGAATGATGCAGTCGCTTGTATTGAGAATACATTTTTGCTCATATTTGGATAGAAATGGCTGATTTGTTTCTTGTAATGTTGGTGAAAGAAGTCATGTACACGAGGCTGCGCATGTTGTGTGGTTTGTTTAGTAGCGCTTATATAAAGTGGTTAGAAGTTCTTAAACTGATCCGTTAGTTGCAGCTTGTGTTGATTGGTCACTGAGATCTGCGTTTCGTTTCGGTGGGTTTGTGGTGGGAAGGAAACTGCTAGTCTGGCAGAGTTCAGATTAGCGTGTGCACACAGAGTAGCATTATAATCTGGATTAGTGGTTTGAGGTCTGAAGGTGGTTTACACCATTAATCAGCCCAATCAAACATCAGCTAATGTTGATTTTACATTCTTGTGTGTTTGTGCACAGGATGTTTATGGTTGCATATTGGTGTGTGTGTGTGCTCATTGGTTGCAGTTCACAGTGGCGTTCTACAGGGTACTTTGAAATTTCAAGTGTTTCGTTGCGTTTGCAGGAACGTGCGTTTGACATCAGTTTTTGCATGTGTGTAACATGAGTGGTTTGTGTGTTTTAAACCTACACAAACCCACACAAACTGTATACAACTAATTGTGTGCACGTGTACTTTTTATGCAAGTATACACCAAAGTTTTAAGTGTGTATTTCTTGCATGCATTAATTAATTCCAGTTGTTCAGCATGTGTGTAGGTGAGAGATAAGTGAATATAATTGTTACATGATGTCATGTAATGTTAGTATTATTTCATAATATTGTTAGTATTGTTTGTTAATGTTGTTGTAACATTTTGATAGCGTCACTATAGCAGTCCATGGTGGATTCCTGTTTTTCCACTCTGCTGGAACACACTGTCTGTTCAACCTTTCCTGTTGTGTTTCTCGTACACACTCCACTACAGTGGCCTGGATAGTGTGTGTGTGTGTGTGTGTGTGTGTGTGTGTGTGTGTGCACATTGTTGTTTCTGCTTTGATTGAAATAGTTACAAGCAGTTCTTTGGTACGAAAACTATTTCCTTAGACTAATAAATATTAAAATTGTTGTTGCTTACCCTTTCTTTACCTAAGGCTTAAACACATTGTTTAATCATCTTTGTTTTTTATTTGCATGTATGAGCTATTCTTTGAAAGAAAATGAGAAAGAGGAAAGTACTATGCCAGCCTTGGCATCGCAACCACACATTCCTCTCTATTAGATATGGATAGATTTACAGGGAGTTTCATGTTTAGCTCTCAAGTACCCACAGGATATTGCCAGATATGCTTCATAGCAAGAAGTAACATTCTAGTAACATGATAATTGTTTTTAACTTCATATTACAAAAGAATTGTAAAATGGACTTTGTATGGTGTATGCACATTGAGATGGATTTTTTTTTTTTTTTTTGTAAAAATGGTTCAATTGAAATTCCGCTACTTTTTCAAATATATGGTTCCAGATTTCACACAAATATTGGTTCCAACTATTTGTGCAATGGGATTTTCTGCTTATGTAGAGCAGTATTGTAGTCAAGAAGTTGGACAACTTTCAAGACCATATTTGCTTGGTCTTGGTCTTATCTTGAGAGTTGTAGACTCGACACTCTTCTTGTCTTGGTCTTGACTCAAATGAGCTGGTCTCAACTACAACACTGATGTGGAGCATTTCAAATCGGTCATAAACAATTCCACTTTATTTTGGCTTCTTTCTTTAAAAGCACCTGCCTATGTAGGTAGTAAAGAACAGCACAGTATGTGTTAACAGAATTTTCCTTTTGTGTTTCAGAGATGCCACTCAAAGATGGCAGCCTGCTCCTGGATCCAAGGCTGCCATGTTGGTGAAAGTTAACAGCATTGGAAGAAACCAGTCTCTGGGTCCAGCTACTGCCCACCAATTGCTCCACCTCAGCCCCACCAACATTAGCACTTCACCCAAACCAGGTTACACAGCGCAACTTGACAAAACCGGTCTGCTCAGCAAAATGGCCGTTCCTGGAGACTCCAAGCTGGGTTACCACCTCAAAAGGGGGGATGCCAACTTCTGTCTGGTTTTGCCCACTACTAGCTCTTCCTCTTACTCTGCCCACCAGCGCTCTGGTGCAGGTACACCTCGCCCCTCCTCTCCTCAATACGGAGCTACACCATCAGCACCAATCTACGATGAACCTCCACCCATGGATCCCCCCATTTACGATGAACCCCCAGTGGAAATGGAAGTAGAAGGGGCGCACCACTTACACAGAGTTCCCTACTCCACCAGTCACAGCCTGCCGAGAGGAGCCCAGCCTCCTAAACTCCTCCAGTTCCCCCATTCCAAACACATCTGCAGCTCCTCAGCTAGTGAGTACAGTCCGGCCGGCCGGGAGTGCATCAAACACATGGTGAACGTGGATGCAGCTGCATCCAAGCATCAGCCCCAGACATCTAACACTATCGAGGGGCCTTCAAACACATCCAGTCCTCAAATCCAGCCACAGTCTCCAGTTTCTGCCCTGATTAAGAAAGAAGTCTCTCTGGAGAAGAAGCAATCATGGAGGCTGTTGGAGCCCCGCCACAGCCGTCAAAGCAGTCTGGCCTCTCAGGAGTACCCAGGCCCTGCTGCCATCACGTACCAGGACTCTGGCTACTCCACTGGGCCATCCCCAAGTCTGAGAAGGAAGAACCGACGTCTTGCAGCTCTGGGCACTGGGTCGGGTCGACCCGGGTCGGTGGGCAGCAGTGGGGAGTTGAATGCATTGAATGAGAAGCTGATGGCGGAAATGAGGGCGGTGGTAAACCGTTCCAATGCACTACATGGAAGCAAGGTTAGTCTGGACACTGAGATGGGTTCAGAGGCCTCTGGAAGTACTGCCCGCTCCCTGGTCAGTTCATTGAAGATGGGGGCAAGAGGGGGTGAATCGAGGGAGGATGTGACATCAAGTAACCGATCACTGTATAGGGGCGGGGGCAACAACCAGGGCGATGTTGTGTTGTCGGCACTGGTGACAGATGGGCTCGGAGGCCGGCAAAAAAGGACGTATGAGAAAGTGGATTCGCTGGAGAAAAGCGTAACATCGCAGACCAGCTTGTCCTCCCCAGAACCACCAAGGTCACCTTCACAGGTATCAACACTTTTTGCAGCTGTCCACTTGCTTATGGTTGGTCGAGTGCAGCAATCTGGCTTATCCCCCTTTTCACCAATTTGTCATTTATTCCTCTCTTTTTTAAATCACCCTTCTCACATTCGATGGTCCCACTGTGTTTAATAGAGTTCCTTGGAGTGGAAAAGCAAAACAACACTTCCCATCCGGTTGTTGTAGAAACTATGCAGGAGATGGCGAGTCTTGGAGTTTCCTAAGCTGAAAAGGGTGTGAATATTCCATTCTAGGGATATTTACTTTTTCCGTCTGTCTATGTGTGTGTTGTGCTTAGATTAATAGGATTGTACGAGGGCCAGTTGTTTTTCTCATGTGTTTAGTGAGCATGAGACTGATGGACGGGGAGATGTAAAAGAGTCAAAAGTAAAGAACAGCTGAAATGTGTGTGTGTGTGTTTGATTGTATGTTTGTGGGGGATGTACATATGGCAATCGGGTAGCAAGTAGGTCAGTGTAGAGCTTGAGAACCAAATTACTTTTTCAGACCGTCGTCATGGATGACTGTATTTAACGTAGAGTGTGTTTTATGTGGATGAACACATATTGGTCATAATAAAGGCAGATAGCCTACATCATTTGTTACCTGCCACCAGTCCACATTGTAGTGAACTTTATAGCAAAATTGCTGCCTTTTTTAGATACCCTGTCACAATACTGAAACTACTGACACTGCAGACAGTGGAACTTGAGTAATCTGCTTCGTTATACAATTGAAGTCAAGCATAAACGCTTACGTCCAAAGTATACTTCGTTTTTGTACGTGTACGCTAGCGTACGCATACAGTCGAATGCGTAGCCTTTCAAAATAGACACTATTTCACTAGCGTGCGTGAACACAGGTGGTTGACACATGCACTCTAGAAAGGTTCATCTTAGTCCAGTGTCTGTGCTCTTTAGTTTCCGTCTCTAAAGTTTCATTTTCTACTGTGAAACAGCGGCCTGGGCCACACCGTGGAACAACTGATTAGTGCAAAACACATTCAATGCGCATGTGAGACCTGCACATACAAAAGTAGGCAGTTACACAAATCGGGTGGTGCGTGTACTATTCTAATGAAGAAATTTGTGTCACATCACACACACTGTACATGGAACCTCACGTATGCGTAAAATCTGAAGTATACTTTGGCCTTTACTACAACCAACAGTGCAGGAACTTGAGCAATTTCATCACCGTCATTATGAGCATACCTTTAGAAGGCAGCTGCAGTGCAGCCCACCAAGGTTTGAAATAGAGTTGAAGTGTTTTGTATTCAGGTTCTGCATTTGATAGCATTAGCATCCGTGTTAATGCTGTTCATGAAGTCATTCCCTCACGAGTGCTGGAAAAACTGGAACATAAATTAACCTTTAGTCTGTGCTCCACCAGAAACAACCTGTCTGTTTTGAAACATAACAGAAGTACAAGCCCTGCTGCTATTTGCAGAAAAATTGAGAAAGCAAAACAGAGCCCGGGTCAGTCCCCTCATTCACTCAGCCAGGTGTTGTGGTTGTATGAGACAGTCGGCTCTTACAGCTCGCTGTGATTAGGCACATTCGGGTAATATGTTTCGATGTGTGTGCTGACAGTTTCATTTGTCATTACTGTAGTGCTCCACGTGTGTTTTGGCTTCTCCTGGGGAGCATAAGTTGGTGGAGTTAATATTATGGATCTTAATACACTAGGAGAGGTTTGTCATCATTCAAATGATCATAAACGATTTAAATAATCACCTGTTAAACTTTATCAAAATGACCATTTTCCTTAAGTATTATGTAGGTCTATGTTAATCTCTGTAAATAGATAATGATTATTCAATATTTCAAGTTTATTTAAATATGGCCAAATTTATCTGTAGTATTCAGCCTCCTCTGTATGTCTGCTGGCCCTTTGGCTTTTTCTTCTTGCCTTTACATGCCTCATTACCTTCATAAGTCTTTTTCTCTCTCTCATACTTACATGTCTGATTAAAATACAACAAAAAATGTAAAGGTTGTGAGGTTGGAAACATTGACTCAGTGATTTGGTTCAGAGCAAGCTCATTACATCTTGATGGAGGCAGAACCTCACTAATGTCCAGATGCATGGAGAAACGCTCCATTCTTACAATTTAATATGACCACATTGTTAAATCTGTATCACTTTGGGCACAGTGTCACAGTGATGTAATGCCAGGGGGCGCCAGGGCATGAAAGGAAACCCTTATGTTACGGGAATATACCACAAATGTAATGTGCTGGATATGTATGACACTGCATATACAGACTACATCATGTTCATAACCTGTCATCTTTCATTGACTATTTTTGTAACCATAATAATGTCAGCATGATTGTGTTTGGTTGTGTCACATGCTTGGCTGACTCAAGAATCAAAGGTCGTACATTTCTCAAATTAAATTTCGATGTTTTTGTAGATTTGTCTGCCCTGCGTTAAACTGCGGCACAGTGTGACACGATCACATTCACAATCTCAGTCAGTCATAGGGTTGGGAATCGAAAATCGAAATCGACCAGAATTGGATACTTTAGGTCGGGAATCGGATACTTGTTGTCAAATAAAAATTTCGATTCCGCCTACTGATTCCTATGCGCTTTTTTTTTTTCTTCATCTGTGAGGAACGGACCTAGCGATCTGCCAGGACCTTGCTCGCTAATCTAAGCACTCCAAAGTTTGGCTACATTTGCTAAGTATAAATATACTAAGAAAAAAAAAAAGCTAAGTATAATATCTGTGATAGCTAAATATGTTGCAAGAGAGGTGTCACCACCAACATGACAAAGCACTTTAATTTAATAGATCGTTAAAGATCGCGAACACTATTCAAACACCAACATGATTCTATTCCTAAATTACAATGATTCGTCTGTTTCATTCCTCAAACTTTGACGTGTGCGATCAATGTTGTGATCACTTGGTTCGTCCGTGCAGCGTACGATCACACCAGTGTGATCTGAACATTTAAATTTGCGTTCGCGCTGCCATTGACCTAAAGAGAGGGTTGGGGGGGATAAAAAACAAACTACATTTATCCAGAATCATGCAGTTCTATTTTGCACACAAACAGCTCTTAAAGAGTCCAGTTTTTATGTAGCCTGTTGATTTTTGTTCATGGTATTCAGCTCCAATAAATGGTTTGCTAAAAAAGAGACACGGGATAAATGTTTGATATTATTTAATCACATTGGAATCGAAACTGGGAATCGAAAAGAATCGGAATCGGAATTGATAAAATTCAAACGATACCCAACCCTAGTCAGTCATGATTCATTTAGTCCACAAACGACGGTATCTGATTACCAGTTGGACATCAGTTATCACAGTTTGAGTAGTATTTGTCTGGTCATGTGATTTCAAAATGGCTGCCTCCATGAAGTGACCCACTCCATGTTAAACAGCTTTTAGTCTTTTTAAACGCCACAATCGACTGCTAGCTCGCATTAAAAAATTTTAATCCAACGGCCACATCTCAAAATTAATCATAGAACCAAGACATACCCTACCTACATTTTTTTTTTCATTTTCAATAATCCGTTATACTTAGATGTGTGCTACAATATGGAAGAAAAGATCTGTTGCTACTTCCATTCTATCGTGACTATTCCATTGGGATAAACACATTTTTTTAGAAATACTATTGAATTATATATGTGTATGTGATCATTTTTACATGAGAGAAAAATACATTATACGGTCATTAAATTAATTTTCTTTAGTGTGGAAGAAATCGGGCCGGGGTTTTTGAGCATTAATGAGTTGGGAGAGAGGAGGAAAGAAGAGGGGAGGCAGTAATGTTTGATGTTAGGATGTGATTTCCATATTGGGTCACCTATTTAGGGATCGAGCGTAATCTATGTGAGCGTTTCCAGTTTTCTGCAGGGAAAGTGTAAGCCAATCGGCTGCAACCTACACAACACACGCACTCAGATTCAAGTTCCTGCGGCAGTCATGATGATGCAAATAAATGCTAGAACAGCTGCATCCATGCTGACATCTTTCTGTTTCTCAATCTTTCTTTTTGTCTCCAGACAGGAACACTGGAATCCAAAACTCTGCAGGACATCTCACCCCAGGACTGTGACCATGACAGAGCAGGTCACGGAACTGCCCACCTCGCCCATAAAAACAACAACAACAGTCCCCCTCCTTCCGTTGGCAGCACGGGTTCCGGTTACCAGTACCCGTACACCACCCTCAGCAAACCTACACCCGACGCCAACATGGAGGACTGGGCCAGCAAGAACCTTAACCAGCACACGCAGGGCTTATTTCGCCGGCGCGTCTCCATTGCTAATATGCTGTCGTGGAACCGTGGCTCCATTAAGAAACCCATGCTGATCACCAGCGACCGGTCTGTCAAGAAGGAAGCCTGCGAGATGTTCAAGCTGGTCCAGGCCTACATGGGCGACAGGCCGGCCAGGTTTGACAAACGTCACGCAGCCCTTCAGGTGGTCACGAAGTGCTGGGGGATGCAAGGCTTGAGGGACGAACTGTACGTACAGTTGGTGCGACAGACCACTGGAAACTTGAGTATGAGGAGTTTGGAGGCAGGCTGGGAGTTGATGGCCATCAGCCTAGCGTTCTTTTCACCTTCGCCCAAGTTTAGGCTCTATTTGGAAGGCTACATCCAGCGACACATTGAGCCCAGTAGTGATAAGAAAAGTAGGTCATTTCAAATATTTATTATAGATAAATGCCACTTGGTCTGATGTTTTATGTCTAATGCAATTGAATTCATACATTTATAAGTGTGGTTTAAGTGTCCAAATACTTAAGCCAAATAGGGCCAGTGTATGTCTTGGATAGTCCAGTGTTTTTGTTTGTGGGATAGGGAAAGGACACACACAGGGGAGTGTTTATATTTTAGGCTGTCCCATATGGATTCAAAGCCTGAAACACTTATATACATACAAACAGAGCAGGCCAATATTGGTTACACTGCTAAAATTATTATGGCATTGTGCCTACCCAAACAGGATGTAACGCTGTGGAGGAGAGAAAAATAAAACGCAGGGGTTACTGCAGGTCAAACGTCACAGGTCATGGAACAATAAAGTCATGTATTGTTCAGGCAGACTGTCGGGGGGATATGAACGTTCACAATTAACAGTTTTATTGTATCTGACAGTTCTTCAGCACATCATGGAGCAGCAGGACATAAAAAACAAGAAGAATTCAAAATCCAGGAAGAAGAGGAGACAGAACAATGAGGAAGAAGAGGATGAGGGTGAGTTCATGGTGGAACGAGTCATTTACACAGACAATCAGGGAAACGTGCATACAGACATGAGAAATCTTGAGGAGAGATTTTGGCAGTAAGTATAGAATTACAGAATTGACTCCCTTTCAGTTCATAAGTTGGCATTTGAAGCGAATAGGCGACACCTGACAGGAATCTGTCTATCTTTCTATCTGTCTGTCTGTCTATCTATCTATTTATTGTTGTCTATCGTTCTGTCTTTATCTATCTATCTATCTATCTATCTATCTATCTATCTATCTATCTATCTGTCTATCATTCTATCTATTGTTGTCTATCGTTCTGTCTTTATCTATCTATCTATCGTTCTATCTATCTATCTTTCTGTCTGTCTGTCTGTCTATCTATCTATCTATCGTTCTATCTATTGTTGTCTATCGTTCTGTCTTTATCTGTCTGTCTGTCTGTCTGTATTGTTCTATCATTCAATCATTCTATCATTCTGTCTTTGTCTATCGTTCGTTCTATTGTTTGTTCTGTCATTCTGTCAATCGTTCTGTCAGTCTGTATCTATTATTCTATCCTTCTATCAGGCTATCATTCTTTTGTTCTGTCTGCCATTCCATCCGTCCGTCCGTCTGTCTTTCTGTCTATTGTTCTATCGTTCTATCTATCATTCTGTCTATCTATCCTTTGTTCTATTGTTCGTTCTATCATTCGGTCTTTATCTATCATTCGGTCAATTGTTCTGTCAGTCTGTCTATCTATCGTTCTATCTATCTATTATTCTGTCCTTATATCAGTCTATCGTTCTTTTGTTCTGCCATCCATCCATCCATCTCTCTATCTCTCTCTGTCTGTTGTTCTGTCTGTCTTTTCATTGAATACGTAGTGAACGCGGTTTCATGTTTTTTTTCGTGTTCTGTAAGCTAAAGCGTCCTTTATCTTTAACTGAAAGAGAGGCTCCCAAACACTCCCACTCATAGACACCGTCAAGGGGTTTGGTCTACAGTGTATATAAGGGAATCTTCCTGGTAACACGTTTGGCTGAGGAGGGACAGTATTAATGATGCTTTGGGTCCGCTGGTGGAGGAGGACCACTCAAAGAGGGAGCAGCTGGCCGAGCACAGAAGGGGTGTATCCCCCTCCTCTCTCGCTCTCTCTTTTAGAGGCAAGATTAAAGCTTTGAGCAACAAGATGTTCTGCGAGTCCCACGCTTCCCTGGCCCGTAGCCAGACTGCGCAGGCATAGAGAGAGAGAGTTCGTGGGTTGAGAGGCAACAAAGATCCTGAGAACGTCTTTCAGTCTTGAAGCGAGAGTGATAGGAGATGGAAAGAGAAAGAAGAACAGGCAGATTGTGACAAAAAACGGAGAACGGGACATTTTTATCAGGTTACACCCTCAGTGGCTGCCATCCAACTTAACCCTCAGCTTGTTCTTTTATCTCTCGTCTATATTCCTCTCGCACACAGTGAGCCTTTCTCAAGAGCCCCGCTCCAAAACAAAGAGTTTGACGAGACAGCTCTGCGTGGGCTCTTAATAATGCAGCTCCAGCCTGGCCTCGGTTAATTACACTGTGCGCTGTCTTCACAGGGGCAGTGCCACGAGACATGTGCTCACTTCAATATCACCAGTTAAGTAATGGCCACTGTCACTGTTTGAGGTGGAAGTGCATGGCTAAAATGAACTCTCATTGCCCAGATATCATTTAGTACTGAATACTTATTACAGAGGCAGCACATCTGGAGCAACCTGAAGTGTTTTGCTTCATAAGATGGTGATGGTTCATGGATCACCTTTTGTGCGGTTAGAACCTACAAACCACCAGCCCTGATTTTTTGGTTCTTTAACTGTTTTACATGTAATTCTCTAGCGCATGACTTTCCTTTTAGCAGCCGCTGGCTAAATCCAGCCCGTTTTATCATTTTATTACTACCCTCTGTCTGACTTTGATGAAATCATTGCACTGCCTGATACATCACAGTGTGAAACTCAGTGAGGGGTTCAGAAGCACTCCGCATTCGATATTTAGCGGTCTGCATTTCATATCTGAAATGGGAGCAAGTGTGTTGAACCCTCTGGTGCTGGTGTCCACTTAAGTGAACATTTTTAATCATTCAGGGTATAATGTTATCTTCAAACCACCATGGTTGATAATCATTGATCCTTAACCATAATTTTATACTGCATGACTTTTATATGTCATTATGACGTCATAAATTCAGTATCCATCCTCCATTAATCTCATTCAATGAGTTGCAGTGTCATTAATTGCATAAAGCAACAACAGCATTACCACATTAAAGATGCACTCCTTTAGTTTCAGTGTTTGATTTCCGTTGGATTGCAGCAAACTAGGTTTCATGTGCAACTGGCCTACAATCAACAAGATCGCGATCTTTGAACTTCATGGTCAAGATTACAGAATTTGTGGGAGGACTTATGGTGGCATCATTGTTTGTTCGAGTGATGAGTTGCAGCTAAGCCAGAAAAACAGTGGCTTTTCAAATCCCAGCGTCATGCGTGTATGTGGAAGCCAAATGTCAGCAATGTTGTTGCGGTTATAGTGGATGGAAAATACAAAACAAACAAATTCACTTGTCTCACACTGCCGTCACTAAACAGTGTTTATTTGTCTCATGAGCTGACTGAAGTGCCGCCGGTTTACTTTAGTCATCCAAAGCATTGTTTTGGCTGGATTGGAGCATTCCATGTGACACCTCTGCACCTTCCCGCTCTCTGACTGGATGCTGGGAATGTTCTGGAACGGCAGAAGGAATGTGGCTTTACCGTTGCAGGGTTTCAGCAGCTGTCTACCAGCACCGTGTGCCCCAGGAGATGGCATTGTGGGAAGGGCTGGAGTTCAGAGGCCCTTTTGAAACCGAATAAACACTCTCAGTGGACTTTATTATATGATGTGGCACTGTTTTTTTTTTTGTAAGGCTCTTTTACTCTCTCGCTCTTGTTTTCGGGATGTTTTGTGGGGGTGTGGCTTCCTCCTGCCTCCTGTTAGAGGTGCATTGTGGGGGGAAAAAACCTGTATGTGCTGAAAGGACTGCCGTTACAACACTGACACTATTTGTATGCAAAACAGCCCTCATATCAGCTCATTTCCTTTCTCACGGTAAATGCTGAAGTGTCCAAACTGGCATTCTTTTTCTTTAAGAGGTCGATACTAAAAGTGTTTAACTGAGGATGAGAAGCAGCACACATTCACAAATGAGTCCAAGAGTATACGTGATGAAAGAAAGAATATATATATATACACTCCATTTAATTGATCGAAATTACAGTGAAAACAGTGATATGTTAAAATGTTATTATAATTAAAAAACTATTTTCTATTGGAATATATTTTATGTAATTTATTCCTGTAATGCAAAGCTGAATTTTCAGCATCATTACTCCAGTCTTCAGAGTCACATGATCCTTCAGAAATCACTCTAATATGTGACCCTGGATCACAAAACCAAATTGATAAGGGTCAATTTTTGAAATTGAGGTTTATACATCATAAATAAGATGAGTAAATAAGCTTTCCATTGATGTATGGTTTGTTAGGATATGACAATATTTGGCTGAGATTCATCTATTTGAAAATCTGGAATCTGAGGGTGCAAAAAAATCAAAATACTGAGAAAATCACCTTTAAAGTTGTTCAAATTAAGTTCTTAGCAATGCATATTACTAATCAAAAATTAAGTTTTAATATATTTACAGCAGGAAATTTACAAAATATCTTCATGGAACATGATCTTTACTTAAGATCCTAATGATTTTTTGGCATAAAAGAAAAATCGATAATTTTGACCCATGCAATGTATTTTTGGCTATTGCTACAAATATACCCCAGCGACATAAGACTGCTTTTGTGCTCCAGGGTCACATATGCTGATTTGCTGCTCAAGAAATAAATCATGATACATTTAATTTAATGCATCCTAGGAATCATAAAGACCCCAAACCTTTGAACGGTGTATCATTCCTGTGTTATAAATTCACAGATTTTTGTCCTACCTACCAAAACCGACCTCTATACTGTATGATGCTGAGTGATAGAGGTCTGAGGACTGATGAAAAGATGAAGCAAGAGGGTCATACATCAGGAAATGTAAGAATAACCACATCGAAGGGAAAGTAGAGAATAGAACGGCTAGAAAATAGAGGCTGTGTCACAGAGAATTGAGACAGACTCTTGTGAAACATCTGACCTGCTCGTCTAACACGAGTTTACAGCTTCATACACACACACGAGTCATCAGAACAAGAGCTATAAATCTCACCATCTTTGTGATTCAAAGACGGGCAATAGACGGTCTCATACAGACCCTCCTGTTCTTGTCTGATTTTGGGAAACTTTGACGACAGTGTGCGTTTATCTGTTTTATGAGGGTTTTCTTCAGACATTTAACTGAAAGAAACCTCATTTGTCTACATGTGGACTAGCTTTTTAGTAAAAAAGTACATCACTTGCCATTTCTTCGTAATTATTTGCTATATTACTTACACTGAATATATTTTCTCCATATTTGATGATGTGTTAGTACAAGACACATTCAGACCGTTTCTCCATGCACATTTTATAGATAAGCCCATTTCATTTGACTGCATAATCCATTATGTTAATAATGAAAACGTAGCTTTAGGTTTGGACAATGTCTTGTCAGACATGTTAAATGTGTGAGGTTTTTGAACTTTGCATAGATTTCACTAGTTGTTTCAAGTTATTTCAGCTGCTAAATTAAAGAAGGAATGCTACTTTTGTTTTCATAGTAAGCTTGTTTGACTGAGAATTTTGTCTTTTTCGATTTTTATCGTCAACATTTTTCCCCATATAAAACTGTTACTCCCTCTTCCCCTCCGGTATTTTGTCTGAATAAATAATACATAATACTTTAAAAATGAAAATCATTTGCGTTAAGTGCTACAAGTGAATTTAGGCATCATAACATTTATAATGCACGAAAAATGGATATTCATTTTGAGATTTACAAAAATTACATTAACAGTAATTTATTTATTAACAGTGTTAATAAATTATTAATGAGTGATTATCTTTAGGTGAATGACAGCAAATGTGATTTAAGTGTAAAAATAAATGTTGCAATTAAATATACAACATTGGGCTGATACTAAGGAATACAATTTAAAAAAATCTACTCAAGTTCAAGTTATATTAAAAAAAATTCATTAATACTTTTTATTCAGCAAGGATGCATTAATTTGATGAAAAGTGACTAAAAAGACTTGCATTGTTACAAAAATGTATATATTTCAAATAAATGCTGTTCCTTTCAACTTTGTCCATTAAATAATCCTGAAAATAAAAAGTATCATGGTTTACACAAAAATATTAAGCAGCACAGTTGTTTTCAACAATGCTAATCAGAAATGTTTCCTGAGCACTAAATCAGTATATTAGAATGATTTCTGAAGATCATGTGACACTGAAGACTGGAGTAATGATGCTGAAAATTCAGCTTTGATCACAGGAATACATTGCATTTTATTAAATTAGAAAACAGTTATTTTACATTTGTAACAGTATTTGACAATATTACTGTTTTTACTGTATTTTGATCAAATAAATGCAGCCTTAAGAGGCTTCTTTCAAAAACATTTAAATAATCTTACCGACCCCAAACTTAGTAGTTATATTGTTCATAGAGTCTATATAATTCGATATCACTACATTTTATTATTTCTTTTGTTCAAATTGCAATGACAAAGTATGTACTATGTCCCTTGTTCTGTCTGTAGGGTCTGAAGAAGCCCACTCTGGAGGAGACTGATCACAGTCGAAACGCCATCGTGACCCCGTCTATGTTCGGCAGCGCTCTGGAGGAGATCATGGAGAGGCAGAGTGAGCTCTTCCCCGAGAGGAAACTGCCCTGGGTGCAGGTGCAGCTCTCTCAGTATGTACTGGCCCTGGGTGGAGCCCAGACGGAGGGCATCTTCAGGTGGGACATAGACAGAGAAACAGGAAAGAGGGCGTATCATGGTGTTACGTGTTTCATATATAGCAAATTATAATGTTATTCAGACTTTCTAATTGCTAAACTACATGGCCATCCTGAAGTATAAAGATTTTACTTTCTCATCCCTCCTTCATCAGTTTTTACAACACCCCTCTTCATCCGTGAAAATACATGTAACAGGGACATGTTTTCTTTAAATCCTGTGCATGTCGGCTCATCAGGCCATCTTAAGCCTGTCACATTGGCTCCACCTTGTGGTCAAGTGATCCAGCACACTATTCCTAGCCTGGTCCCACATAGTGTGTGCATGTCCATATGGTCCTCAAGATTTTAGGGTGTCCCATTTGTCATTTTATGATTCAGTAGGCCCCTTCATTGCTACAGTGTAGCCAAAGTGTGGAGCACAAGGGCTGAGGGCAGCATTTAGGACAGGGCTTTAGTGCTATTGAAGTGTCCAAACACTTCTGAGCATTAAATGAGGTAAACAGCATTCAGAAACAGAATATGTGCATCATAAGCAGTCTTGGCTGAAGCTGTTGTCTTCATCCTGCAGAGTACCGGGGGATATTGATGAGGTGAATGCGCTCAAGCTACAGGTGGACCAGTGGAAACTTCCAGACAGCCTCTCTGATCCCAATATCCCTGGTGAGATCAAACATTCACATATATATCGTCTGTGAGACCTTTAGATTAGAGGTTTTCAACCTTCTTGATTTGAAGGCCCCAATAACATTGTATTCCCCAATATATAGGCTATGATATATTCTGTATTTCTGCTTGTTTTCAAGCTTTTTATTAGCAGAAACCAGGGTTATTGCTCTATTAAATGCATTTTGTGATTCCAGAAGTTTTTTTTATATTAAAAACCATTATTATTGACATGGAAAAATTACAGTTTACCACTTAATTTTTTTTTTTTAGGCATTTAAATTTAGATTTTTAATATAATGTTAATAATATGTATTAACATATTAATATAATAGTAATAATAATTAATTTAAAAATGTAACTAGTCTGGTTAGTTTTACATTTTTAGTTTCTGTTGATTGTTGTAGCCGGGAGATAATTGTTCAGTCTACAAAATACTGAAAATATGTCTTTCCACAAATTTTCAGCATACAAAAAAATATTGTCTGTTTTGTCCTTGCCTGTTAGCTTTTTAGTATCTATTGTACTGATAAAAGTTGATGAAATGAATTATAGCAGATATACAGTATGCATTAAATATTTAGTCTTTCTCTTCAGTGGAAAACAAACCAAAAATATTGGACACATTTTTCAAATACTCTCTAGAATGAAAACAATCCACTCACACTAATTACACGTGTCACTGATTATTAATAACAAGTAGCAATTTAGGGGTTTGCTTTGTAATTTAAATACAGTTGACAAGTTTGTCGATTTGTTGCTCCAACAATGTTTCTAAAAGAACTAGAAAAGGAAGTTGTTCATCAAACCATTTCATAGGGTCGTTAAAGATCTATCCACTATAAGAAGTGCATATCTTTGTGTGATATTGCTGAATAATGCAGCACAGGGATGTAACGTCTCTCTCTGTTTCTGTGTCAGCGTCTCTGTTGAAGTTGTGGTACAGAGAGCTGGAGGAGCCGGTGATTCCTCAGAGCTTCTATAAGCAGTGCATCAGTCGCTATGAAGATCCAGATGCAGCCATCAGAGTGGTTCAGTCGCTCCCACAGCTCAACAGACTCGTGCTCTGCTACTTCATCAACTTCTTACAGGTAATGCCCTGCCATGTGAACACAACCCTGTGCGGTGTTATACACAATGACAACGCTTAATTCAGCTCTGTGTCTTTCTCTCATGCCAGGTCTTTGCTCAGCCTGTGAATGTGAGTAGGACTAAGATGGATGTGAATAATTTGGCGATGGTCATGGCTCCAATCTGCCTGCGCTGTCAGTCCGATGATCCTCGAATCATCTTTGAGAACACACGGAAAGAGATGTCCTTCCTCCGCATACTCATCGTCCACTTGGACACCAGCTTCATCAAGGGCTTAATCTGAGAGTCGCGGTTCATTCGTTATTTTGCGGCATAGCTCCGAACTGAATCTGTATGAGTCATTTGAGTGAATCATCCAGGAGATGAAGGGAATCAGGATGTTCTTCCGCTCCGAGAATCATCTTTAAGCATCATATTATTAGTTCGGACAATGTCTCTCTCAACTAATCCAGCTTTGGCTCAATGTGAATCATCCTGAACTTGACTCTTGGGACTCTTCTTGAAGCCAGACATTATTTGAACTGAATCAATTGACTCGATTTGATTCCACAACAAAACAAATGCATGACGTTTGTCTTTTTGGGTTTGTTATTTCTTCTGTTTTTTATATTGATTAGCAGGGAAATACATCCTTTGGACAGTCATAATCGTAATAACACACATGCAATATAACCTGCAGCGTTTTTCTTTAATTTAATATGGTATGAGTGTTCTGATTATTTAATGCTCAAGTATGAGTGCGGGGAGAATTACTAGCTTCAGTTTTGTATGCAAGGCTGAGCGCAAGAAAGAAAAGGTGAATTAATATTGCAGAGCTGTGGACCACAAAGACAGCTCTGAAATACTTAGCATGGTGGTCAAAGCTTGAGGTCTGGTGCCTTACATGAGAATGATCGCTGATGTATAAGATGCACAAGTGCCCATGTACATAAACACACCCTCCGTGTTTCTGACTCCAACTGAACTGGTACCACAAGCAATTTTCAATCTGTCCCTCACAGTACTTTTCCCAGTCGTCCCATTAAGAAATAGAAAATTACACCTCCAGATGTGGTTCGGCTACATCAAAGATGATTATGCAGAACTAAACTGTAGAAAACTGAACCAGGAACCAGACTGGAACCAGGAACTGTTCCTCTCCCAAGATAGCTACTGCTCACTGGCCCACTGAAAGTTAACTAGGTTTCAGTTGATCCAGCAGCTCCAACATCAGTGGGTGGCCAAGAATGTTACGCTCAGATTTGCCCAGGTTTTTTTTTTTTAGGCATTTAAATTTAGATTTTTAATATAATGTTAATAATATGTATTAACATATTAATATAATAGTAATAATAATTAATTAAAAAATGTAACTAGTCTGGTTAGTTTTACATTTTTAGTTTCTGTTGATTGTTGTAGCCGGGAGATAATTGTTCAGTCTACAAAATACTGAAAATATGTCTTTCCACAAATTTTCAGCATACAAAAAAATATTGTCTGTTTTGTCCTTGCCTGTTAGCTTTTTAGTATCTATTGTACTGATAAAAGTTGATGAAATGAATTATAGCAGATATACAGTATGCATTAAATATTTAGTCTTTCTCTTCAGTGGAAAACAAACCAAAAATATTGGACACATTTTTCAAATACTCTCTAGAATGAAAACAATCCACTCACACTAATTACACCTGTCACTGATTATTAATAACAAGTAGCAATTTAGGGGTTTGCTTTGTAATTTAAATACAGTTGACAAGTTTGTCGATTTGTTGCTCCAACAATGTTTCTAAAAGAACTAGAAAAGGAAGTTGTTCATCAAACCATTTCATAGGGTCGTTAAAGATCTATCCACTATAAGAAGTGCATATCTTTGTGTGATATTGCTGAATAATGCAGCACAGGGATGTAACGTCTCTCTCTGTTTCTGTGTCAGCGTCTCTGTTGAAGTTGTGGTACAGGGAGCTGGAGGAGCCGGTGATTCCTCAGAGCTTCTATAAGCAGTGCATCAGTTACTATGAAGATCCTGATGCAGCCATCAGAGTGGTTCAGTCGCTCCCACAGCTCAACAGACTCGTGCTCTGCTACTTCATCAACTTCTTACAGGTAATGCCCTGCCATGTGAACACAACCCTGTGCGGTGTTATACACAATGACAACGCTTAATTCAGCGCTGTGTCTTTCTCTCATGCCAGGTCTTTGCTCAACCGGTGAATGTGAGTAGGACTAAGATGGATGTGAATAATTTGGCGATGGTCATGGCTCCAAACTGCCTGCGCTGTCAGTCCGATGATCCTCGAATCATCTTTGAGAACACACGGAAAGAGATGTCCTTCCTCCGCATACTCATCGTCCACTTGGACACCAGCTTCATCAAGGGCTTAATCTGAGAGTCGCGGTTCATTCGTTATTTTGCGGCATAGCTCCGAACTGAATCTGTATGAGTCATTTGAGTGAATCATCCAGGAGATGAAGGGAATCAGGATGTTCTTCCGCTCCGAGAATCATCTTTAAGCATCATATTATTAGTTCGGACAATGTCTCTCTCAACTAATCCAGCTTTGGCTCAATGTGAATCATCCTGAACTTGACTCTTGGGACTCTTCTTGAAGCCAGACATTATTTGAACTGAATCAATTGACTCGATTTGATTCCACAACAAAACAAATGCATGACGTTTGTCTTTTTGGGTTTGTTATTTCTTCTGTTTTTTATATTGATTAGCAGGGAAATACATCCTTTGGACAGTCATAATCGTAATAACACACATGCAATATAACCTGCAGCGTTTTTCTTTAATTTAATATGGTATGAGTGTTCTGATTATTTAATGCTCAAGTATGAGTGCGGGGAGAATTACTAGCTTCAGTTTTGTATGCAAGGCTGAGCGCAAGAAAGAAAAGGTGAATTAATATTGCAGAGCTGTGGACCACAAAGACAGCTCTGAAATACTTAGCATGGTGGTCAAAGCTTGAGGTCTGGTGCCTTACATGAGAATGATCGCTGATGTATAAGATGCACAAGTGCCCATGTACATAAACACACCCTCCGTGTTTCTGACTCCAACTGAACTGGTACCACAAGCAATTTTCAATCTGTCCCTCACAGTACTTTTCCCAGTCGTCCCATTAAGAAATAGAAAATTACACCTCCAGATGTGGTTCGGCTACATCAAAGATGATTATGCAGAACTAAACTGTAGAAAACTGAACCAGGAACCAGACTGGAACCAGGAACTGTTCCTCTCCCAAGATAGCTACTGCTCACTGGCCCACTGAAAGTTAACTAGGTTTCAGTTGATCCAGCAGCTCCAACATCAGTGGGTGGCCAAGAATGTTACGCTCAGATTTGCCCAGGCTGAATTAAACTGTTTCAGAAGAGACTTAGGCCAGAACCATACTCTACATATACTAAGTATGCAAATGCAAAAACACACCAAGACATGCTGCGGTCTTGTTGTACAGGTGTTTCTGTGCCACTAACATTACAAAAAAGTAATGAATTTTTCCTGAAACACCTCTCCCATATGTCATTGGTCAAATATACAAATAGCTCTGCCCCAAACTCACGCCATTGGTTGAGCTGTTTCCATGTCAGGCTAGTAGTCTAAATGTTTAAACAACGTGTTTACATTTTTCAGGGGAATCAATCTACAAATGAGTTGTCGCTGCATTATTTTGGGATATAGGAAAATACTTGACAAGGATTTTTGCATTACTGTGGGCTTACTGAATTTACTCAAAGTGGATATATATATATATATATCCTTTATATAACCCTCAACCCTCATTCACTATTTCCTAAATTAGTCCACTAATATAGTCCACTTGAAGAAGTGATTGAATACTAGTGAGCTGGAAGCGGACGCCATTTGTTGCGTGAATTCACTTGGCGCGACACTTACAGTGAATGGGTATTTACTAGTGGTTAGCCATTGAGTGTACATCGGTCGTACACTTGTTGTTACAGTGCATTATGGGATTGAGAGTGAGAGCACTCTTAATGTCCACTATGGTTTTGGACACCACTGCATGGTGGCAAATGGCAGTCCTCTCAGATCATCTTGGACACGGGTTACCTTCAGATCTGTGCTCAGATCCTTTTCAAACCTACTGCAATGACAGCTGTTTCCCTGACTGAGTCAATTGACCACAGAATACAGTTTATGCTAATGTTGGCTATAGTGCCCCAAGTGGCAAAGCTGAGACTGCAGTGTGCACTTGTATGAAAGCATTTAAAGACTATTACAGGCCTTCACATCAACACTGGTAGCATTTCAGTCAATCACATGTCCTATTGATATAATGTGGGATCCCCCAACAGCTCTGCCTGTGCTTTTGTATATAGACCTCTCATCTGACTGATCGTTGTGTTTATAAAGCTCAATGGTGAAAGTAAGTGAGCCCCTTCCTTGTTGCACTTCCCCCTCAGTTCCTTTCCCTTAGTGGGTCTGTATCATCTCTGCAGAGACTGATACTCCTCCTGCACTCTTACTGTAAATGACTGTCTTATTTTGTTCTCTGTGTGAGGATGCGTGTGAGGAGACAGCAGTGAATTATGGATGTGTGTTTAAATTTGCATAGTTTCATAAAGAACTCTGAAATAAAATGTGTAAATTTGTATAATTGTGCAAAAGTGGTTGTGAGTTTCACTTCCTTGATTTGTCTCGGCCTTTCCACACACAATATGCACAGAGTAAAAGTTTGCCAGGTGCTTAAACGCAATAAGCTCAGTCCTACAGAATTCTATGCCATTATGTATCTTTTTTTCATATCATACATTTCTTCAGTTTAGCACAAATTGAATGCAATGATTGGCTCATCTGCTGCTTAGTTTGAGGTATAATTAAAATGTGCACTAGTTTTATATCATACAACGTCACTTTATTGTAAAGAGAGAGAGAGAGAGAATTATTTTAGATTAGATTTGATTAGTAATACATACACGTGAGAGCATCTATAAACTTCTTAGACAAAGGTACAGAATTGGAAAAGCTACTTTGAGCTTTACTGGCCTCTTGTGGCAAAGTCAGTGCTGTTACACTAGATGTGAACTAAAGTAATGCAAACTTCTGTCATATTCTGAAAACAATACCAAATCTCAAACAAAAATGAACTATGGCCACATGTATAACCAAGTTTCAACAAATAAAATCTTGAGATCTGCACATTTATACTCGTTTTCTATAGGGATGGTGTTTCCGGGGTATTGATCAGTCTAAAAGAGCAATGCTGTTCATTCATCGTCTTGTGTCTTTGTCAGCTCTTACCTGTCGGTCCTGGTCTTTGCTCAGTTTGGGTAGTCAAATCATAATCATGTATGAAGTGTGTCATGCATTCTCCATGCTGCTTCCATGTCAGTTTGATTGTGCAATCAGGTCATTGAATTTTTTGTGTCCAGGACTATTAAAGAAACATGAAAAAGAAACAACAAAATCATACAGACATTCATTTGAGAACGCATACTGAACATACACATTTCTGAATTTAAGGTTGACCGTGACTGCATATTGTGTGGATGTGGCAGGAATCTTATATTAACACCTAGTGCTGTAAATGCAGCATCACACCACAGCAAAAGCTTCGGCTACTGATGGCTTTGAAGACATGCTCTATTCAGTCCACCGATGGTTTATAAGCAACAGTGGCCGATAACCGATTATTTAGATAAAGCGTTTAATATTTGTTTACCTGCATATCATGTTATCGTTAACCAACATCAAAGTACCGTGAATGTTTAAAACGTACGTTGTTTTCGAACGGTCTTAAATTAAAATAATTATTTCCCACTACATATTTTACTGAAATGCCTATAGACTGTTTATTGGCAAGTGACATTGTGACAACTTACCCCACGCATACAGTGTAACTGTATCAACGTTTTTCCAAAACATATGAAACAAACTCAATACAAAAATGCATTTCTACTTTTCTATGCATAGCCTCCTGGGACCCAGGCACAGACTTCTGTCCTCTGTAGAGGATATTGTATTTTAGTGAATTTCTCTGAGACCCTACAAGCCACAGTTTTAAGTCTGGATGTCCTGTGCAGAGCACATTCAGGGCTTTTTCAGAGATATCAAATGTTTGGAGGTTAAACACACCTTCTCTTTAGTCTTTAAATATGACTGATACTGACAGAATGATCAGAAAGTATGAAAATGCTTTGTAATTATCATTTAAATCGGACTAATTTTCAAATTGTTTGTCGTAAAAAAGACAACATCTCAGAATAATGTTATGGGGTTTGTTTGACTTTTTATTACGAAACGGGGCATCATTTTCATACACGTCTTCTGTAGAGGACACCAGGACAAACGGCATGTTAATCAGGCATTTTGGGGAAACGCAACAAGACATTATAGATCAATATTCCTATGAAATATTAGATATTCTTATGAAAATGTTGCCAAGTTATTACTCCCATTATTTCATTTTCATTATGGTTTTCCCCAAGAACACATTAGGCCTAATCTGCAAATTAGATGTGATCTATAGACACATTGTATAGAATGAGAATAGCAATTGATGGACATTGTACACACACATTACATAAAGTAAAATAGTATATGAAATCATTCTGTTATATCTTTCATTAAGAATCATCTTTGTACAAAGTTTGGTTAAAAACAGCCTGAAACCTAAAAACTGATTGGTGAATGAAAAAAGAAAGCATTGTTTTTGCCTATACAGGCCTTTTCATGTATAACTTTTTTTAGTAACTCAGTCCTGGCATCCTCTACAAAGGACGTAGGATAAAATATGAATAACATATTTAAAAAAAAAAAAATTCTCCATTTGTTTCTTATGCCCCAACCAGTGTAATGACAAACAAAATTCACAAAACTTGTTTTTTATGGTTCTCAGGAGGATATGCATTTTAAACTAGATTTGTGTTCATTGCTATTGATCTATACACTGTGACCAAGATACTTTGGGGTGTAAATAAAATAAGGCATAAACACACAGTGTTGGGAAGGTTACTTTGGAAATGTAATAGGTTACAGATTACAAGTTACCTTATTTAAAGTAGCGTAACTATTTCACTTACTTTATTAAAGCAATGTAACTGATTACATTTCTAAATTTCGAACGAATGTTTTCACCCGTAAATCATTCTGAAACATTTCAAGCAGCAGGTTGAATCTTACAGTAGCACTCGAGACTGATTACCGTCAGACTTTCAGAGTGCTTCAGCACTTCTTTTGAAAGCACAGCCACCACAAACTCAGACTGTAGCACCATGTTTTACTTTGAGATCGTGCTGAGGTTAAACACAGATTTAAAAGCGTAACAAGATCTAGTTTAATAGCCATGATACGGTTTTTGAAATCAAATCTTTGCATATCTGTGCCAGGAAACACAGGCATCTAGCAGTTACTCTAAAAAACAACATATACATAAACACAAATAAATAAAACAGTTATCGTATAACGTGTCCTAAACTCCTGAAACATTGGGGTCTCATATTTTAGAGCAGCCAATGCAATTTGGGAAAGAAATCAATTAAATCTGTGTGTGTGTGTGTGTGTATTCAGATGTAATCTTTAACATTTTCATAAGTAACTAATTTAATTACACATTTTTTTCTCAGTAACTGTAACAGTTACAACTCCGTTACATGTAACTAGTTACTCCCCAACACTGTAAATACGTTAGTCTTTGTATTTCTTACACTATAATTAATAATCAATGTTGTCTCGGGATTAGAGTACAAATGAATGGCATTATTAAAGGGCACGGAAGACACCTGCCTCGGTCTTGTCATCTTCACAGAGCAAGCGACAAAACTGCACATGCCCTACAAGAAGACGGCTTCTGTGCTGCAGGGCTAAACTATCCCGTCGCCTTTTGATGAAAAGCGAGATGAACACACCAGCTCGCGGCTCGGCGAGCTTCCGTGCGCGCATGCGCAGACAGACTCCACCTCGCGGCCGCCGGCAGCTGCTCGCGCAGAGAAAACAAACTGCGTGGTGCGCTGCGCTCTCGAAGCATGCGGCTTCACGCGCGCGGACTCGCTTTCTTCGCTGCCGGAGGACATTCATCAGCAGTAAAGGTAAACGGCGCTGTGATTATGTACTGCAAAATAATAAGTTAGCTGTCTTGGACGTGTTATTAGTTTGAATTGTGAAATGTGTCTTTTATGTGATGTTGTTGTTCTGTTAAAACCAAACTTGCCTCCACGCATGTGTTCCCCTGTTTGATGCTAACGGGACGCATGGAAGTGATTTAGTCAAATAGTGCATTCGTGGAAAGTGTCAGCAGCTGCGGTCTTGCTCTTTCAGCAGATCGCGGTGAATGAGCGTGTGGGAGACTTTTGTTCGCCTCGTAATTACGGTAGTCCCGTGCAGCGAGCAGTAGGCCGAGCGGAGGCCGCGGAGCGTCGGAGTTTGACTGACAGGTGCGCGGTCCAATCAGAACGCCGGAGCTCGCGTCAGTCAGGGCGCTCACCCAATCAAATGGTTTGCTGTTGTCGGCGACTGAACAATGCAATGTCAAAACAGCAATTTACGTAAAGTCTATTTGGAGGGCCTGGCTCGTCGTTGTGAAGTGCAGGTAGCATCGCATAGCGGTTTGTTCGCCTGCTGTCTTCAACTAAACACAGCAGCGAGCGTCAAGCGCCTGAGTTCTTTGATATTTGCGTTGATATGTTCCTCCTCCTACCAAAAACACGTTAATCTTGCGCCGCTGTTGCTGGTTATGGCAGGCTTGTAGACGTGAGCCGCTGGCCTGACGGTGTAAACAACGAGGAAACGGATTGCGTGACCGTTCAGCGGGAGAGCCGTGGGGTTTGTGAATGCATTGATTTAACCAAATGTGCCGGTTTCCCGCGATTATGACGTACTGAAGCGGTGTCTGTGCGTCTGACGCGTCTCGCGCCGGAGTCCGTTATGAAACTCCAGCGGCGCGTGCGGTGACGCGCTGTCATGTGACCATCTGAGCCGTGCTGGTCTCGTGCTGTTTACGGTCAAAAGTGACCCGACGCCTGAAATTATTATTATTATTATTTTCAGAGAAATCAATGTAATATATATATTTTCGATCATATTTGCTCTTTTGTATTTTGAGAGAATTTCATGGTACTGTTTTATATGTATGCAATAATTATGATACATGCTTCCATAATAGTGTGTGTGTGTGTGTGTGTGTATAATAGTGTGTGTGTGTCTGTGTATGTTTGAGTGTGTGTGTGTCTGTTTTGTACTTTTGAAGTTTGAGTATCACCCCTTCCTTGGCGTCTGTGTTTTTACTGCATTGTGACTAAATTATTGATTTTCACATATTTGCAAGAACATGCTTTGTGTTGTAGTCACACTAGCTCATATATATGTGTGTCTGTGTGTGGTGGGTGACTGAGTGTCTGTTTTGCACTCTTGATATTTTAGACTAGAGTGTCACCCCTTCATTGCTGTGCACTTTTTTTCTGCGTCGTGAATGTTTTGTAGATTGTACACACAAAATATTTTCTGTATTTTCGTAATTTGTGTATTTCCTATTCATTTCCAACAACACAAGTGTGACTATTTTTTTTATGACCGTTTAGCTTTTTCGAATCAAGTACACGATTTTATTTTATTTTGTTGTCACATAGTGACTGCCATAAAAGTCAGCGCGTTTCAAACTATTCCGATGAAGTAGCGACTTTTAAAATTTCAAAACATTTTTTTCTTCCGGTCTAAAATGACCGAACGGTACCAGAGGGTTAATGATGAAGAGCAGTGGATTTTAGTGTGAGTGGTGTCAGTCTTTCCTATTTGATTTAAGAAGGGATCTGTGATTCTTCAAGTTTCCTTTGCTTTTTCCACTCTTCAGACTGGCAAAATTATTTACTTTTTAATGTTTTTCCTCACTCTACCAGCCTTGGAAAAAAGTGCTTAAAGGGACCCACAAAAAATGAGAATTATGTCGTCATCACTTCCTCTCCCTCATTTCGTTCTGTAATATTACTTAATGTATTTTAATTATAAAATGCACTGTTAACCTCGTCTGTGCTGAAACGGTGTTATGAAACTGTTAATTGCTGTAAACTAAATGTCTGGGTTCCCCCTGCACATCTGATCTGATGATATTCTTATGGATGACAATGTTTATTTTTTAAAACCAAAGCAAGCACAGCCTCTACATGTGGTTTATCTGACAAAATATTTATACAACTATTTTATTATTAATGACTGACTGATAAGGATTTTTTTGGGGCCGATACCGATATTAGGGAGTAAAAAAAGACATACCGATATATCGGCCAATATACTTTGTGTAGGCTATATTTTAGTACAGTATAGTCAAAAGTTTGGACACTTCCCATTCGTGTGTCCAAACTTTTGACTGGTACTGTATATAGAATACAGTATATAGCCTACATAAACAGAATATATAGACATATACACATTTTTTGCAATGATAACGCAAATGTGGTGATCAAAACTTATAATGATGTGATAAACATAGGCCTATGTAGTGGAAGCAGGGTATTTAACAATTTAACAATAAACTTTAGTATTCAAAATGAGTCTGACATCAGTGCACTTAACAGTAAACTTCACTTATTATAAATAACTTAACGCAAATAGAACAAAAAATATAACCTGAATTAAGAAATTAAACAAGGTAACTGTGTAGGGCAAGCAAGCTACTGCCAAACCAACAGGGGCAGGTTTATGCAGGAAGC